GGGAGCGGACCGGGAAGGAGGGGGGGGGGAGTACGACCAAGGAGGGGGTCGAAAGACCCGGGCCGGGCGGGGTCTACGGCGTACGGAGATGGCGTTGAGGGCCTGTCGGCCTGACTCATTGACTGGCGTAGAGGGGGCGTAGTCTTCGGGCGTGAGGCGTGCGCCCTTGGTGACGTACATGGCTTCGTAGAGGTCTAGGGAGCCATCGGGTGCGACAGGGGGAAGTGCTACTCGCGGCGGGTCGGTCCCTCGATCGGCTAAGATACCCTCTTCCTCCTCTGTCTGGCCAGGGCCTGGGACGACCACGACTTCGCTGTTCTCAAGAAATTCTCGCACGCGATTGGCGCGCTGTTGCGACTTACGCTCCCGAGCTAGCTTCTCTGCCGCAATTTCTTGCTTCACCGCCGCGGGTGCAAAGTCGAACAACGGCTTCGCGAACCGCAACCGCCGCGCCTCACGCTCGCGCTCATACCGCTCTGCCTCGCGGTGATTATACTCCCTCTGGTACCTCTCCATTGAAGCCATTTTTTTTCACCCCGCGCTAATAGCCACTCTCCCGCCCCAACCCAGCCACCCGTACGCTCCTTCATTGTCCTAACTAAGTTGTCCTTGTGACCTAAACAAAGTTGTCCTTGTTTGACCTAAACAAGGTCCTATCTATCCATCCGTCTTCACACACACATCCGTCTTCTGCACACACGTGTGGTCGGCCATATTATGCACATTTGACGAACCTTTGTTTAGTGATGTCTGTGTAGGTGATTTGTCCTTGGTTGATGAGGTCTTCCAGTGCGTCGTTGAAAGCGCCGGGTTCGATGCCTTGTTCTGCGGCTTGTTGCAGCGCGTGCGTGTAGTCGACTGCAGCACCTTCTCGGCTTAGTGTTTGAATAAACTCGAGGGTCTTAAGGTACGGCTTATCGATGTGTGCGGCCTGGAGTTCAGCACGTCTACGTCGCACGCTTTCGCGGGAGGCATCAATGAGTCGCTGTGCTTCCTCGACATCTTCAAGCGCGATATGTGTATCGAACCGTAACTTAGCCAACGCCTGGGCCAGACGCAATAATCCAGTCAGCGACCGCGGCGTCACATACGTCTCCGCGTCGACCGCCGTCCTTCGTGCGGCAACGTACCGCGCTGTCACCTCGTCCTCCAACGCCGCCGGCAGCGTAGGCGCGTACTGCTGCGTCTCCTCAACCAGTAACTTGATCACCTCGGTCTCCAACGCCACCTCGCCTGGTTCCAAGGTTCCAGCCTGAGGCCTTACCCCGCCATGAGCGTTGCCAGCGTTATCACCACGGCCGTGGGCGCCTCGGGCTCCGTTACCGGCTCCGGTTCCGACCCCGTTACCGGCAGCGGCAACGACGTTATTGAAGTTGGTGCCGGTTTTGCGGACGGCGAGGAGGTGGCGGGCCATGTCGATGTCGTGTTGTCGCGAGGCGGACTGGTCGAGGAGGAGGAAGACAAGGTCGAATCGCGAGAGTAAAGCGGCGGGAAGACCTATATTCTCAGTCGCGGTCTTGCGCACGTTGTAGCGACCTCCAACAGGGTTTGCGGCAGCGAGTACAGAACAGCGTGCATTAAGAGTAGCTACGATGCCCGCCTTACTAATGCTGACGGTCTGTTGCTCCATGACTTCGTGTATCGCTGTACGGTCTTGTTCATTCATCTTGTCGAACTCATCAATACAACACAGCCCTCGGTCCGCCAAGACTGTTGCTCCCGCCTCCAACGAAAATTCGCCTGTTATAGTGTCTTTGGTAACACAAGCTGTAAGACCCACACCACTGGCACCTTTGCCGCAGGTGTACTTGGACCGTGGTGAAACATCGCACATTCGCAGCAGTAGCTGACTCTTGGCAATACCCGGGTCACCCAACAGCAACATATGGATTGATCCACGTAACTTCACCTTACTATCCCGCTCCACCCCGGTAGCACTGTGTCCAGTCGCAGTACTGTTTCCACTTGTAGCACTGTTTCCAGTCGCAGTACTGTTTCCATTCGGAGCAATGTTCTCGCTGTCGTCGCCACCCGCGTTCGGTTCCGTCTCTGCACCAGTACCGACGCCGCCGACGAGTTGGAGAAGCATGGCTTTCTTAACGTCATCGTGTCCATGTATTGTAGGTGCGATACTTTTGGCCATAAGTTCATAGAGTCGATGTCCAGGGTAGTTAGCTTTCGCGAACTCGGCCTTCTTTTTCATGGCGTCCTGGTCCACGCAGACGCCGTCCTGTTCGACGTAGATAACTTGAAAAACGGGGGCCGAATGGTCGCTAACACCGCCGCCGAATCTACCTGCATTTTGGCTGAGTTGCAAGACAAAGAACCCTCCAACCCTGATAGGCCTTCCGGGTCTTATTTGGTTGGTAGTATCGCCGGTTACAATGAGCTTAAGTTGGTGAGGTACTTTGCTGCTGGGCACGTTCTCGGGGTTTTCTTGTATCCATACTTGTTGGTAATTGATGTATTTGGAATCTTTTGAAGATAAAGAGAGAGTGTTGTTCTTCTTCTGACACTGTTCACGTTGGCATTGTTTCAGCGGCATATACGACACACCAGCTGTATCCACATGCTGGTACCGAACCGTGAAACAATCCTCACAGCGATAAACGGCCACCTGGATGCAAGGTCGTGTGGGACACACACGACTCACCAGACCACGTAACTCCAACAAGTGACCAACGTGGACCCCTCGTAACTGATGTAATGCAAGATTTAATGCATTATTCTGCTGCTTTCTATACCACTCCTTAGGCGGGTATAAATACAACTCATAGGGAACACGGAAACAAGCTGGTACTGAGCCGTCCCGACGAATTACACGCCAGATACGCTCCTTCGGAGTCAACGCCGACTCGTCCTCCATCGATATCACAAACAACTCCGTAATCATCTCCTCTATCACCTCATAACATAATCGTAACGCTCGGGGACCATTGTGCAATATAGTACTTAACAACCCGCAACTCTTCTCCTCCCGACCAGGCGGCAAAGAACCCCCTTCGTACTTCAAATGGGCCAACAGATCATCCACCTTTATCATCATCCACTTACTCTCCTCGCGTGCCAACTCCTCCTAAAACATTAACAACCCCTCCGGAAGTGCATCCAGGTGTGCCCGCCCTAGGGAAGTGCCCGCCCTCCGAACGTGGCATGACCATACAACACGTCAGGGTCAGGACGCGGCGTTTCCGCCAAGTGATCCATTGGGGAATGGACCCGGGGGTGGGGGTATGTGGTCTACAGTCTTCTTCAGGTATGGTTTGATAATAGACCGCTTGCCTTGCACTGTGGTCTTAACCTCATAGTGCTCGAAGAAATCTCGGAGCTGATTCTTCTGGGAAGGATAGTTGACCAAAGCAACGATGTCCCTCGAAGCCATCCCACTCTGTCTAAATCAACAAAACCGGAAGCTCAAAAAAACCACGAAAACCATCCATGGTCCACAACCCAATCTGGATAAGCTGACAAGTGGTTGAATAATGGTGCTACTGCTCAGGATGAAGGTCTTCTGGGGTGTTGGGCTGACTATTGCTGGACGATGAAGGAGAAGGGATCAGCACGTCGCGGAATGTTTCAGCTACATATTGCTCGATGGAATCTGCGTCGCGTTCCCCCACGTAATCAACTAAACTATCCAGCCTAGCATAAAAGCAATAGAAAAGGCCGATTTCCAAGGGATCGAACCCGGGAGGGGAGGTCATGCATGATTCCTTACTGTGCTGACTTGACAAAAATGGAAGGGTAGCCATTTACAGTCGGTATCATCCACTGGTCGCCGTCTGTCGTATGGACTAGAAGAGGGGGCAGATCATTAGTTGCTGCATTGAAAGTCACGAACGGTATCAGAGTAGAAGAATATATTTCAGCGACTCTTCTGAATTCCCCCAGAAGCATTTGACTATGACTAGACCAGGGCGTATAAATCAGAGTGATCACATTGGATTCAGGATCCATCCAAATTCTTTGCAGAGTTGAGGCATTTACCTCCATCAGGGCCGCCCCTTGGTTGAACCGGAATGGCCGGCGCTCATTCTTAAGCAATATGGGACGTTCTTTGGACCAATCAGTTTCCGTTAGCCACGCTGCGATCTCGTCTGCTGAAGGAAAATTCGTAGAAAATTTGTCGTGAGAAAATTCGTAGACCAATTTGCGAGTCTTTAAACCATCCGTATACTGCATAATATTGTATCCCACAGGATTCACCATCATGGAATATTTGGGTAGGAATAACTTGGTACTCTTCAGCAAATATATCCTGCTTGGTTTCTCGTCCCCTGGCGAGAGTTTGATTTTTCCGTCTTTCTTGTCCCCCAGCGACGATGAACCCGTAGACGCCTTCAGCAGCGTGCTGAGACCCAGATAGTCAGCAAATCGTTTCTCATATGGGGTATCGAATCCCAATTGATAAGCGAGAATTTTCGTCTCCTTCAATCGTGTTTGCACACGCGTGTGCACGCGCAATTTTGCCAGAACATCGCGAAGAGTACTTCTCATCTGATCCGACTTGTCCAGAGCCAGTAGGACGGCCGCGTCCTCTGGGAGATTATTAATCCAATGGATGTTGTGGCTGTCAAGCTTTAGTGGCTCAGGAATATCCGTTAGAAGATCCTCCCATTTTTCAGGCAAATTCTGAACATTTTCCGACGTGATCTCCTTAATGCTGGGCTCAAAAGCTCTTCCATACCACTGCAACGAGCAAACTCCTTCATGAGCCATGCTTTCATCCTGAATTAATATGAGATCCGCTGGAGGATGGCCAACCTGCTTGAGAACTTGGACCCTATCACATTCCGCTGATAGGACAGCATGATCTTTTAGCCAGTTCCACTGTTCAGAGCTCACATCATCCACAATAGGAATTAGACCTCCGCCAGATATTGGTTTGGAATCTAGAGCTTCCTGTTGCAATATCCAATATCTAACATTATCCACGATTGAAGGTCCGAGATAATCAGCTGTTTCAATTAGGCCGTTATGGTTTATTATCCGTACTAATGTAGGAACAGTTTCAATGCTCATCTGCGTGGCGAACCTTCCCTTATCCTTATCAATATCCACGTAAAAGACTTGTTCTTCAGGCTTGACGATTGTATTTTCTCGGAGGATGTGTTGCATCCTGCGCGATTCAGAACACCAGCGGGCACCCAACAGGATATACAAGGCCTTTCCCTTATCCAAGGCGTCTATTGCATCAATTGCCTGTGCGCCAGTCATGACCTGCAACTTCGGGGACTGTTCCTGGGCCTCCAGCTCGCTTCGGCTGATCGGCACTAACGATTCAGTCAGAGATTCCGCGCCTAAAGGTTCAGCGATTGCCGAATGCGTATCATTCGTCCAGAACACTCTTTGGTCAGCCCCCACAGTCCCGCCCAAACAGAATATCCATCCTCGCATATTTTTGCCCCCACCACCCCCGGCACCGCCCATGGCATCGAGGTGTGGAAGTACCATGCCATCGGTGTGGAAGTACCATGTTGTCGGTGTGCCAGTGTTTCCCGCCTCGGGCGCTTGTACGGTTGACTGGCTCCAAGAAAGTGATTTTTGCCAGCAAAATGACGTTGCATCTCCCGGACCCGGAAGGGAATATGAGCAAGCCAAAACAAGCCGTCACGGAGGCGACCGTACAGAAGCCCGTGGCCCGTGAGGGGCATTGCAGTTACTACGTCAAATCTCGCCGGTACTTTTGCAGGTTTCCGCTCAAACCGGGCACCCAATATTGTTGCACACATCAACCAGACAAGGAGAGCCGCTGTCCGTGCCCCGTGGACGGACGTCACTCCATATATAAAGAGGACGTCTGGAGACACATTAAGAAATGCCCCATGCTGCGAGAAGCCTGCGGAGAAGCACTTCAACCGTTCTACTCGCGCAACATCAATCTACCAAATCGCGGGAACACTTCGGCACCGCATGCCCACCTGGCCGGAATCTCACTGGAACAGATTTCTCAGATAGTTAAGGAGATCATCCCTCCCTGGCTGCAGACGGAGGACATCAATCTAAAGACAAAGGTTAGGGTACCGCCCTCGGCGGACGTATCTCCAGAAGACATTGACCGGGCCCTGATCCAACTAGCTCCCAGCGTCCTTGCCATGGCGAAGGAGATCCAGTTCAACTGTAAGTTCCCTGGTGAGTCCCAAGGGGATGATGAAAGAGTGTGCTACGAATCCAAAAGACTGCATGACGGGGGCCTGTACGAGGGAGAAACGGTTGCCGCATCTGACGAGTGGCTGGACGTGAATGCCTGCTACCGCGAGGCCTGGGACGGAGGCGTGCTCGACATGCTGTGCCGTCGAGTGTGCGGTCAGTATGGTGTGGAGAAACTGAGAGCTGCCGACGTTTTTGCCGACCAGCAGAAGTTCAAACACGAGATTCAGGCGCTGGAGATGCTCACTCGGTTCAAGAACGTCGTGGGGGCCGAGGAATTCGTGCGCTGTGTCCGGGAGGCGACCTGGATAGAACTGGGGGCTGGTAAAGGAGGTTTGCTCCGGTCCGTAATACAGATGGACGACCTGCTCAGTTCTGTGCGGAAACCTCGGACCCCGGAGGCTGACCCGAATGGGGAGTCTAGCCCGAAGGGGGAGTCTAGCCCGAAGGGGGAGTCTAGCCCGAAGGGGGAATCCAGCCTTAAGGCAAAAACTTGCCGGGAAGGTGAGGCGGAGCGGATAGAGCCGGAAGGGAAGAGGGCGCGAAAGGAAGGTGAGTCTTTCTTCGTTTTGGTGGAGCGAGAAAGGAGACAGTTGAACAAGGAGCGGAAGGACGCTCAGGGACATGTGGACGGGACTCTTAGCAGACGCTGCGTTCGGTTGGCGTTAGACTTGGCTGATTTCGACGCGGTCGAGTTCTTGCGGGGTTCTCAGATGGCGGCGGTGGGGCAGTCGGTGGGGCAGTCGCCCCCTGATATGGGTTACTGGACGTGGCCGTGGCCGATGCAGTTGTTGAGTGGTCTGGAGTGCTTGTCGGCGGAGGAAGAGCAGGGGTTACGTCGGAGCGGAGGTCGTGGTGCGGTGTTGCGGCCGTATGCGAATATGAAGAACTCGCGACTGGATGAGATGCTGGCGACCTTGGCAACACGGCCCGTGACTAATAGCGTTCTGTTCACGGCGAAGCACTTGTGTGGGCCGGCTACAGACTTGGCGTTGCTTACGGCGGCTCGAGTGCACTACCTGCTGCCTGGCCTCCGCATCTACCTTATCATCGCGCCCTGCTGCTACCACAACATTGCCAACTCCGGACTGGCCTTGGCTGGGTCGCCAGAGTCAGAGTCTGTCGAGTCACCAGGGTCGGTACCCGAGAAGTGGGTGGCGGCTCAGTGGCAGGTGGTGCAACGGATGCCGATGAGCATCCAGCGGAACCTGCGGACCGTGCTGGGCTGGAGCACGGGCGCCACGGGCGACAAGCAGAGACTTGGACTGGCGCTGAAGGATGCGGTGCTGCTGGAACGCATGCGATGGCTTCAGGGCCTCGGCGCGACAGTCTCAGTTCTTCGCTACTGTTCCCTGGGTGTGACCAAAGAGAACACGCTTTTGCTGGCCTCTTGGAATGCCGTCTGAGATCGTGTTCTGAGGCGAAGAAATAAATCCGATCGGGTGTTGGAGTCGAGTGTTGGAGGTTTAGAGGGTTCGGGGTTGACAGGTGGTGGAGACATGGTGTCGGTGGAGACGGGGGGTCTCGGGGGTTTTGGGGGTATGTGGAGTTAAGAAACATCAGCAATTTGTGTTTCAGCCTTTGAGAAGAATTTTGTACAGTTACGATGAAGTGTCTGGGTGCGTTCTTCGCTTCTGTGGTTTTGGTGTCTGGTGGATTGTCTACCTACAGCGACACGTGCTTCCTGCCGATCGACTTATTGTTGGTGCAGGATACGACTGGGTCGTTCATGGACGACTTGCCTAATGTGTCGAAGGCAATTCCTACCCTGGTTTCGAGTGTGTTGGAGAACAACCCGGGTTCTCACTTTGGTGCGGTTGAGTTTAAGGACAAGCCGTACCGTGACTTGGGTGAGCCGGATGACTTTTGTTACCGCATGGCTTCTGCCTTGACGGGCGACGTGGCGACGTTCCAGAAGGCGTGGGACACGTTGTACGCTAGCGGCGGCGGCGACTTGCCTGAGGTGCAGTTGCAGGCACTGATTGACGCGGCACAGGACCCGACGGTGGGCTGGCGCGTGATTGATAACTCGATCCAGTCAGGTGACGACGTCTCGAGTGTGGTGGGAGCTCGGCTTATTGTGCTCTCCACAGATGCCGTACCCCACGACCCGCTTGACTACGACCTCTACCTCGAGGAACCGCTTCCCGAGCCTCCTCTCCCGCCTAGCTTCATGCCTCCCTTCCCCGACAACTCAGTCGGTGTCACGCCCGACTTCCAGTGCAGAATCTACGACTACCCCTCCATGGCCCAGGCCGCCAATGTCCTCAAGACCAACAACGTCATGGTCGTCTTCCTCGTTCCGGAAATCGAAACCGACGCCGTAGCAAAATGGAGCGAATTTAACACTGAATATCTCGGCCAACCGGCAAACTTCCTCCAATACATCTCCAGTGACTCCAGCGATATCGTCCAAGTCGTTCTCCAGGCAGTCTCCGCGGTGAGCCAGTACGTCTGCTTCGGTACCACCACGCCACTACCCACCACCGCTCCGCCTACGACCACTCCGGCCCCTGTTCTGACGACGACCACTCCGGCCATCGCTCCGCCTACGAACACTCCGGCCCCTGTTCCGACCACGACCACTCCGGCCCCTGTTCCGACCACGACCACTCCGGCCCCTGTTCCGACCACGACCAATCCGG